CCCTGGGAGTCCTGTAGCCCTGCCGCCCCCAGGGAGGCGCGCAGCCCTGCCACACTAGGAGGCCTGGAGTCCTACTGCCCGGCGTCTGTGCCACCCCGACGCCCTGTTGCTCTACAGCCCTGCTGCCCTACGAGGACTGCATCCCTGCCACTCTATTGTGCTGCCACCCGGCTACCCTGGGAGGCCTGCAGCCCTGCCGCCCTGCTGCCCTGCCACTCTGCCACACTTGGAGGACTAACGGCCTGCAGCCCTGCCACACTGGGAGGCTTGCAGCTCTGCCGCCCTGCACCCTGAGCCCTGCAGCCCTGCCAGGCCTGTAGCACTGCTGATCAGCTGCCCTGCATCCCTGCCGCCCTGCTGCCCCGCAGTCGTGGTGCCCTGGGGGGCTCGAAGCCCTGCCACCCTTTCGCCCGGCCTCCGTGCCGCCCTGACCCCGTGCCGCCCTGCAGCTCTGCTGACCTGCTGCCCTGCAGTCCTGCTGCCCTGCAGCCCTCCTGACCTGCTGCCCTGCAGTCCTGAAACCCTGTGAGGCTTGCAGCCCTACTGCCCAGTTGCCCTACAGTCCTGCCGCCTTAGGAGGCCTGCATCCCTGCCGCCCTGCTGCCCTGCACCCCGGCTTCCCTGAGAGGCCTGCAGCCCTGCCACCCTGGGAGGCTTGCAGCATTGCCGCCCTGTTGCCCTGAAGCCTGGCGTCCCTGCGAGGCCTACAGCCCTGGCGCCCTGCTGCCCTGAACCCCGGATGCCCTGTGAGGCTGGCAGACCTGCCGCCCTGCTGTCCTGCCGTCCTTCGATACCTGCAGCCCTGCTGCCCTGGGAGTCCTGCAGCCCTGCCGCTCCCAGGAAGGTGCGCAGCCCTGCCACACTAGGAGGCCTGGAGCCCTCCTGCCCTGCTGCCCTGAAGCCCTGCCGCCCTGCGAAGCCTGGAGCCTTGTTGCCCTGAGAGGCCTGCAGCCCTGCCGCCCTGGGAGGCTTGCAGTTTTGCCGCCCTTTGCCCTGAAGCCAGGCGGCCCTGTGAGGTCCGCATCCCTGCCGCCCTGCACCCTGAGCCCTGAAGCCCTGGGAGGCCTGTAGCACTGCTGCTCTGAAGCCCTGGAGCCCTGGGAGGCCTGAAGGACTGCCCCACTGCTGCCCTGCATCCCTGCTGACCTGCTGCCCCGCAGTCGTGATGCCCTGGGAGGCTTGAAGCCCTGCCACCCTGCTGCACGGCCTCCGTGCCGGCCTGATGCCCTGCTGCTCTGCAGCCCTGCCGACCTGCTCCCTTGCGGTCCTGCCGCCCTGCAGCCCTCCCGACCTGCTACCCTGCAGTCCTAATGCCCTGCGAGGCTTGCATCCCTGCTGCCCAGTTGCCCTGCAGACCTGCCACCTTGGGAGGCTTGCAGCATTGCCGCCCTGTTGCCCTGACGCCTGGCGTCCATGGGAGGCCTACAGCCCTGGCGCCCTGCTGCCCTGCACCCCGGCCGACCTGTGAGGCTGGCAGACCTGCCACACTGCTACCCTGCCCCCCTGAGAGAGGTGCAGCCGTGCCGCCCTCGGAGGCATGCAGCCCTGCCAGGCTGCTGCCCTGCACCCCGGTTGCCCTGTGAGGCCAGCACCTGCTGCCCTCCTGCCCTGCCACCCTTCGATGCCTGCAGCCCTGCTACCCTGAGAGTCATGCAGCCCTGCGACCCTGCTGCCCTGCTACCCTGCCTGGTGCCATGCAGCCCTGCTGCCCTGGGAGGCCTGCAGGCCTACCAACCTGGGAGGCCTGCAGTCCTCCCGCCCTGGTGCCCTGCAGCCCTGTCATCCTGGGAGGCCTGCAGTCCCGACGCCCTGTTGCTCTAAAGCCCTGCTGCCCTACGAGGACTGCAGCCCTGCCACTCTGTTGCCCTATTGCTCTGCCCCCCTTGGAGGCCTAAAATCCTGTAGCCCCGCCAAACATGGAGGCATGGAGCCCTGCCGCCCTGCTGACCTGCAGCCCTGCCGCCCTGAGGGCCTGTAGCCCTGCTGCCCTGCAGCCCTGCCGCGGTACCACACTTGTAGCCCTGCTGCCCACGGAGGCCTTGAGCCCTGCCACCGTGGAAGGCTTGCAGCATTGCCGCCCTGTTGCCCTGAAGCCTGGCAGCCTTGTGAGGCCCGCAGCCCTGCTACCCTGCTGCCCTGCAGCTCTTCGAGGCCTGCAGCCCTGCTGCCCGACGACGATTGCAGCCCTGCCACTCTGTTGCCTTGCCACCCGGCCGCCATGCGAGGCCTGCAGCCCTGCCACCCTGCTGCCCTGCCGTCCTTCCATGCCTGCAGCCCTGCTACTCTGGGAGGCCTGCAGCTCTGCCACCCTGCTGCCCTGCTACCCTGCCTGATGCCAGGCAGCCCTGCCGCCCTGTGAGGCCTGCAGGCCTTGACCCTGGGAGCCCTGCAGCCTTGCCATCCTGTTAGGCCTGCACCCCAACGTCCTGGGAGGCCCGCACCCCTGCCACACTGGGAGGCTTGCAGTCCTGCCACCCTGTTGCCCTACAGCCCTGCTTCCCTACGAGGACTGCAGCCCTGCCACTCTGTTGCCCTGCTCCCCGGCCGCCCTGTGAGACTCAGCCCTGCCACCCTGGGAGGCCTTCATTACTGCCGCCCTGTTCCCCTACAGCCCTCCTGCCCTTCGAGGCTTGTAGCCCTGCAACCCTGCTGGCCTACCCCCTGCGAGGTCTGCAGCCCTGCCTCCCTGCTGCCCTGCACCCCGGCCGCCCTGTGAGGCCGGCAGACCTACCGCCCTGCTGCCCGGCCGCCCTTCGATGTCTGAAGCCCTGCTGCCCTGGGAGGTATGCAGCTCTGCCTCCCTGCTGCCCTGCTACCCTGCCTGGTGCCATGCAGCTCTGCCGCCCTGTGAGGCCTGCAGGCCTACCGACCTGGGGGGCCTGCAGCACTGCCACCCTGGGAGTCCTGTAGCCCTGCCGCCCTTGGAGGCCGGCAGCCCTGCTGCACTAGGAGGCTTGGAGCCCTCATGCCCTGCTGCCCTGTAGCCCTGCTGACCTGCTGCCCTGCAGTCGTGATGCCCTGGGAGGCTTGAAGCCCTGCCACCCTGCCACCCGGCCTCCATGCCGCCCTGCTCCTCTGCCGCCCTGCAGGCCTGCCGACCTGCTGCCTTGCAGTCCCGCTGCCCTGTAAGGCTTGCAGCCCTGCCGCCCAGTTGCCCTGCAGTCCTGCCACCTTCGGAGGCTTGCAGCCCTGCCTCCCTGCTGCCCTGTAGCCCTGCTGCCCTGCTGACCTGCTGCCCTGCTGACCTGCTGCTCTCCTGCCCTGCAACCCTGGCTCCCTGCTGCCCACACAGGTGATTTGATATTTTAGTGATTTAGATCAGCGCTGGGCTGATTATTGAAAAGGACCTGTTCTAGTGCGCTTAAGCAGCACAATAAATTCTAAGTCAACCGAAATTTCTAACACACACAGACAGAGCAGGCGTGTATGTGCTCTCTTTCCATTTGTTTCTCCGGGCTCAAATCTGTCTTCTCTGGGTGAAGTGGGAACACGTAAGAAAGACTGGCCTAAGTCTAAACTAAGAAGGCACCCAAGAAAACACTTAGTTTTAGAAAACTAAAATCATAGGGTGGTTTCCTTTCACTCATCAAGGGTTATTCAACCTCTATTGAGGTCAGAGTCGGGGAGAGGAGAGCGAAGCACAGAGGGTGGAGGCAAGGACGAGTCACCTCATCTCTCCCTCCTTTGGACCTTCCTTCCTCCTGGATTCCCATCCCTTACACTCAAAATGCAGATTTCAGGGGTCTGTGCGTGCAGCCAGAACCTGTGGCTACTTCCACATTCCAGTCACTGAGACACAGAAAATTTGGCACAAACTCTGGTTCAACCCACCACACCCACATAGGTTAATTCTTTCTCTACTGCTGAGACAAAAAGACACACGAGCAAAGGCAGATTAGTAAGAACAAAGTTTTATAGAGGTAGAAGTATATCTACCTAATCTGGGAGCGATAAGAGCCCATTGAGGCTCCGATACAGCAAAATCCATTTACTATGACACAGAATATGTGGGGGAATATCTGTTCCGTAGAGGTTGAGATTCATGACAAAAGAAAGGAACCAGTTGGTGGCGGCTCCTAGGCAGGTTATGAAGGTACCCTAGCCATGCGCAGAGCACAGAACAGTGGACCAAGAACTTGCACCCACAGTGCTGGCTCACCAAAGTCAGAGGGGTGCCCTGACCAGGGGCAGGTCCACGTGTTCCAAGAGTGGAGATTTCTCCCTAAAAGGCATGGCGGTATCCGCCATTGCACCATCAGTGCTGTGGTTTGCAGGGGTTCTGTGTGCTCTGTAGGAATGGGGGACCATTATGATGTCCAGTCGCAGTAGGTACGGTGCTGTTCCCGGTAGCACCAGGTGCCTTAGACACAGGTAGGCCCCCAGGGTTCTGAGGGCGGTTGCTGATACAGAGGGCTGCCATCATAGACACGATGGTGTTTTCATCTGTGTTTGCATCAGGTGGGCCCCCATGATGCTGACATAAAGCAGGAATTCCAGGTCTTCCAGTCTTGGGAGTGATGTTGTTCCCCGCCTTCACACCACTTCCATGCTGGGCAGGTGGGCCCCGGGTGCCTGGCGGGAAGGTAGAACTAGAAGTGCATCGAAGCACTGAGATCTCGGTGCTGCTTCTTGCAACTAAAAGTGAGGTCGTGTGGCCAGGCAAGGCCCTGGTGCTCTGTAAGAGGGAAACACGCACGACCTTTGACACACAGACCTTTGTGGTGGTGGCGTTTCCACACGGAGAAGTGCTGTGGCTTGGGGGGGTTCCTTCCCCGGATTTTGTTCGTCCTAGTGACCCTTTGGGACATGTCTGGGCAATGGGCACACTAGCGCCTCCAACAGGGGGAATGGTGCTGTTTCCCATCACAGTGCTGCCTGTGATTTGGGCAGGTGGGCCCCTGGTGCCTGGACTTAATGTGGCACTAGAAGCATGTCCCATTACTGGGACAGTACTTGCCCTTCCTGTAGCAGCAGCTGGAATCCATGCGATGGACTGGAGGCTATCTGACCAAGAGGACGAGCGGAGGGGTGCTGGATGTCCCCTTCAGTCCAGCTCCAACGTAGAATGCTCCTGACGCCTGTGAGCGAATGGAATCTGGCATGGGCACATTAAGCCCATCCATGGGGATTGCAGGTCCCACAAAGGTCTGTGGGCCTGTAGTGGTGGCCGTGACTGATAAGCCACTGGGACTGCTAGCCCCACGAAGGTCTGAGGGCCTGTGGTGGTAGCCGTGAGTGGTGAGCCACTAAGGACTATAGGCCCCACAATCATCTGTGGGCCTGTGCTGGTAGTCAGGAGTAGTGATGCCCTGGGGAGTGCAGGCCCCACAAAGGTCTGAGGGGCTGCAGTGGTATCCCTGAGTGGTGAGCCACTGAGGACTGTAAGCCCCACAAACGTCTGTGGGCCTGTAGTGGTAGCCGTGACTGGTAAGCCACTGGGGACTGCAGGCCCCACGACAGTCTGTGGGCCTGTAGTGGTACCTGTAACTGGTGAGCTACTGTTCCCAGTGCTAGGGATCCCAGTGGTACCTGAAAGCCAGTCGTGGTAGAATGAGGAGTGTGGAGAACACCTGGCTGGTTACCAAGGGCCGTCTGCTTGTTGACAGTGGTGCCAAAAGGAGGCCCGCAAACCCCGATTGCATTGTGGTCCCTCCGGGTGGCTGAGTTATAGGAGTGGCCAGGCCGATAGCCTGTGTTGGGGCAACTGTTTTTCCTATCAGGTAGCAATTGTTAGGCTGTTGCCCATTGTGACCTCCAATTGTGGGCTGAGAGGTGATTCCTGGGTTAGGATGCAGCGAAACGGGGGTGTTTGATGGCTGACTTTTGAGGGAAACTGGTAGAGCCATGGGCCAAGGCAGTGCTGCTACCAGGTGGTGTGTTGCCAGAACCAGGGAGTGCCCTGTACAGTGGCAAGCGGTTCTTCTGGGACCCAGGGGGGGTCTGGAAGATGACAGCCCGGGAGGGAGATGTGGTATCCATGGCGTCGGGGTCAGAGTGAGGGGCGATTCCTGGGTTAGGATGCATCGAAACGGAGGCCTGTATGATGGCTGACTTTTGAGGGAAAATGGTAGAGCCATGGGCCAAGGCAGTGCTGCTACGGGTGGTGTGTTGCCAGAACCAGGAAGCGCCCTGTAAAGGGGCAAGTGGTTCTTCTGGGACCCAGGGGGGGTCTGGAAGATGACAGCCCGGGAGGGTGATGTGGTATCCATGGCATCGGGGTCAGATTGAGGGGCGATTCCTGGGTTAGGATGCATCCAAACGGAGGCCTGTATGATGGCTGACTTTTGAGGGAAAATGGTAGAGCCATGGGCCAAGGCAGTACTGCTACCGGGTGGTGTGTTGCCAGAACCAGGAAGCGCCCTGTACAGTGGCAAGCGGTTCTTCTGGGACCCAGGGGGGGTCTGGAAGATGACAGCCCGGGAGGGAGATGTGGTATCCATGGCATCGGGGTCAGAGTGAGGGGCGATTCCTGGGTTAGGATGCATCGAAACCGAGGCCTGTATGATGGCTGACTTTTGAGGGAAAATGGTAGAGCCATGGGCCAAGGCAGTACTGCTACCGGGTGGTGTGTTGCCAGAACCAGGAAGCGCCCTGTACAGTGGCAAGCGGTTCTTCTGGGACCCAGGGGGGGTCTGGAAGATGACAGCCCGGGAGGGAGATGTGGTATCCATGGCCTCGGCGTCAGAGTGAGGGGCGATTCCTGGGTTAGGATGCATCCAAACGGAGGCCTGTATGATGGCTGACTTTTGAGGTAAAGTGGTAGAGCCATGGGCCAAGGCAGTACTGCTACCGGGTGGTGTGTTGCCAGAACCAGGAAGCGCCCTGCACAGTGGCAAGCGGTTCTTCTGGGACCCAGGGGGGGTCTGGAAGATGACAGCCCGGGAGGGAGATGTGGTATCCATGGCCTCGGCGTCAGAGTGAGGTTTGGGGTTTGCAGAGGTGCTGCCTACTGGAGTGGTGGTGGCCCCAGAACTCAGGTTGGGCAAGCCAGTGGCGATAGGAGCACTGGGAAGAACAGCTGTTTGATGTCTCCCAGCAAGAGTCCCATGTGTGGGCTGAGGGGTGATGTGGAGGCTGAAGAGTTGATCAGCAAGTGGGGTGGGGCCGGGGGCCATCGACGTAGGTAGACTGGTGGATGCTGCAACTTTCGCAGGGCATCTCTGCTTCATACTGCAATGGCCCCGGGAAAACGGAGGACAGCTCATCCCGGAGTGTGGGGGCGAGCTGAAGATGACAGCCCGGGAAGGGGACGTAGTGTCCATGTCCACGACACCAGGATTGGAAATAGGCTTGGAGGTCAAAGCAGATGACTTTGCTGCGGTGGGAGAAGAAGTCGGTTTAGAGGTGCCGGGCTGGACTGCAACGACAGAGCTATGTGTGGAGTGGCCTGGGAGAGGGGCTGTCAGGAAGAGAGGGGGAGAGTCTACACACATGGGGGTTGGGGATTCTTTTGTGCAGGAGGGTGGGTGTAAGGAGGTTGAGGTGTTGGAAGGTGTGGGGCGGTCAGAGGTGGGTGTCGTAGCCCTGCCTGGGGGAGGAGGACCTCCGCCAAGTGGAGTTTCCCTAATGGGACTGGAAGGAAGGGGAGGAAGAGAATCGGCGGGAACAGCCAGGGGAGGAGATTCAGGAACTCCATGTCCTGTTTCCCGACCAGCATGTCGTGTTGGGGACGACGGCGGGACAGAGAGGATCGGGGGCCTGGCAGAAGGGCCAGCCAAGTCGGTGGGAGGAACAGGGCCGTGGGCAGCGTGAGCGGCCAGGGGCGGGGAGCCTGCAGTCTCCGAGGCCAGTGGGGGGGAGGAGGGGGCAGGCTGAGCGGCCCTGCAGTCTGCCAAGGTCTTTGTTCTGTCCTTCAAGGTCGTGTTCCTGGGACACTCGGTGTTCGGCAAGGTGCCTGGGTCCTTGTCAAGAGCCACGCAAGGAAGCTTCGGGGGTGCGGGCAAGTCCCCTCGATCCCACAGCAGCGGTAGTGGTGGCGGCAATGGCAGACAGAGGGGCATGGCCATTTTCCTCTTGTTCTGCCTCCTGCTGGCAGGTGCTGGTGGGAGAGGGCTCCGTGGCGACACGCCCGAGGGCTTCTCAGCCTGCGTGTCCTTCCTCGCTCCGGCCCGCGTGCTCTGCCCAGGCTGATGGTCTTCAGCCACCGCCGCCTGTGTGCACGTCTCCTGCGGCAAGGGGCGGCATGCGGTTGGGCCCCAGAGCACTGCCGCATCCCTGTCGGCCTTCGCGAGGGCATCTCCCACGGGGCCACATGAAGAGGTGGCAACGCGGCCTTCAGAGGAGGACACGGGAGCCATCTGGGTGCTGTCCCACGAGCTCCCTCCGGAGGGCACGAGACGGCGGTCCAGAGTTGCAGGGCTGGCTTGGTGGAGGCGGAGAACGCCACTGGTGTCCGGGGGCTCAGATGTCAGGGGTGTCCCCCCACTGCTCTGGGGGCGGCCACTCCCACCAAGAGCCTCGGTCTGTTCTCCGGGGTGCTCTGGGACCTTCTCCTCCACCCCCTGTGGGCTGCAAAGGGGGAGGGGAGGGGATGGTACCTGACTCGCAGCCTTGGCTTCCTGTGCAGGTAGGGAATGCAGGAGCCGGAACCTGCGCCCCAGAGCAGGGATCCTCACAGTCCTCGAGGGCCCGCACCCCAGGGAACTGCGCGCAGCCAGCACAGGTTGACCCGGAGGGTTCCTCCAGTTCACCACGGGGAGGAGGCCCAGAGGGGGGCACGCGGCCTGGGGGAGCGGGTACCGCCTCCTGGGCTCCACGTGGCAGCGAGCTGGTGGGGGCCTGCGATCCCGGAGGAATGGCCTGCGCCCAGAGCAGGGGGCAGGTGCAGGAACGGCGGGGTGGTCGCGGCCAGGATGGGCGGTGTCCCAGGCAGGGGTGAGCAGCGGGCGACCGCGGCCGGGCAGGGGCCGGCGGCGGGGAGGGCGAAGAAACCTACAAAGCAGGCTGCCCATTTAGGGCTACTGTGCGCGAGAGTCGCGAGGTCGGAGCGCCGGGCCTGGGGGAGGGTCTCCGAGGCGCCTGGCTCCTCTCCAGGGGCAGCACAGCTGAGCCGCTGAGCGCTGCGCCCAGCCATTGTGAGGTGTCCCTGGAACACCTCCGGGAGCCCGCCACTCCGGGGGGCCCCTCCGCGGGCAGGCAGTGGGCGGGGCCTGGGGCCGCGCCCCCAGCAGCAGCCCAGGTGGGCGGGGCCACCGGGGCGGGGCGGGGCGGGGCGGGTAGGGGCGGAGGCGGTTGAGCACCAGCCTGGCAACCGCCAGCGTGGGGGAGGGGCGCGGCCTGGGCCTGCAGCGGCCAGGCCCGGAGCACTCAGCCCCGAGGCTGTGCGTGGCCCCCCTTCCCTGGGGAAGCCGAGGAAGGCGAGCTCAGGAGCCCCCCAAGGCCCAGAGGCGGTGAGGGGCCTGCTTCCCCGAGGGCCTGCCCTGCAGCCCTGCTGCCCTGCAGCCAAGCCACCCTGCTCCCCTGCAGCCCTGCTGCCCTGCTGCCCGGCAGCCATGCCAACCAGCTGCCCTGCGAGGCCTGCAGCCCTGCCTCCCTGGGAGGCCTGGAGCCCTCCTGCCCTGCTGCCCTGCAGCCCTGACGCCCGGAGAGGCCTGCAGCCCTGACGCCCTGGGAGGCTTGAAGCTTTGCCGCCCTTTGCCCTGAAGCCCGGTGGCCCTGCGAGGCCTACAGCCGTGGCGCCCTGCAGCCCTACAGCCCTGCCGCACGCGGAGACCTGCAGCCCTACTGCCCGGCTGCCCTGCAGTCCTGCTGCCCTGAGAGGCCTGCATCACTGCTGCCCTGCTGTCCTGCTGCCCTGCTGCCCTGTAGCCCTGCCGCCCTGCGAAGCCTGCAGCCTTGTTGCCCTGGGAAGCCTGCAACCCTGCGGCCATGCCATTCCTGCAGCCCTGCCTCCCTGCTGCCTGTAGCCCTGCTGCCCTTCTCTGCTGCCCTGCTACCCTGGCTCCCTGCTGCCCTGCTTCCCTGACGCTCTGAGAGGCCTGAAGGCCCCGGGTGTCCGGTGGCAAGGAAGAACTAGAAGTGCATCGCAACACCGAGATCTCGGTGCTGCTTCTTGCAACTAAAAGTGAGGTCCTGTGGCCAGGCAAGGCCCTGGTGCTCTGTAAGAGGGAAACACGCACGACCTTTGACACACAGACCTTTGTGGTGGTGGCGTTTCCACCCGGAGAAGTGCTGTGGCTTGGGGGGGTTCCTTCCCCGGATTTTGTTCGTCCCAGTGACCCTTGGGGACACGTATTGGCAGTGGGCGCACTAGCGCCTCCAACAGGGGGAATGGTGCTGTTTCCCATCACAGTACCACCTGTGATTTGGGCAAGTGGGCCCCAGGTGTCTGGATGGAAAGTGGCACTAGAAGCATGTCCCAATACTGGGACAGTACTTGCCCTTCCTGTAGCAGCAGCTGGACTTCCATGCGATGGACTGGAGGCTATCTGACCAAGAGGACGAGCGGAAGGGGTGCTGGATGTCCCCTTCAGTCCAGCTCCAACGTTGAAAGCTCCAGAGGCCTGTGAGCGAATGGAACCTGGCATGGGCACATTAAGCCCATCCATGGGGATTGCAGGTCCCACAAACGTCTGTGAGCTTGTCGTAGTAGCCATCAGTGGTGGGCCATTGAGGACGGCAGGCCCCACCAAGGTCTGTGGGCCTGTAGGAGTAGCTGTAAATGGTGAGCCATTGAGGTCGGCAGGCCCCACCAGGTCTGTGGGCCTGTAGTGGTACCTGTAACTTGTGGGCTAGTGTTCCCAGTGCTAGGGATCCCACTGGGACCTCCAAAGCCAGTCGTGGTAAAATGAGGAGTGTGGAGAATACCTGGCTGGTTACCGAAGGCCGTCTGCTTGTTGACAGTGGTGCCAACAGGAGAGCCCGCAAACCCCGACTGCATTGTGCTGCCTTGCAGTCCTGCCGCCCTGAGGGTCCTGCAGCCCTGCCGCCCTCTGAGGCCTGCAGCCCTCCCTCCCTGCTGCCCTGCACCCCGGCCGCCCTGCGAGGCCGGCAGACCTGCCTCCCTGCTGCCCTGCAGCCCTGGGAGGCATGCAGCTCTGCCACCCTGCTGCCCTGGTACCCTGCCTGGTGCCATGCAGCCCTGCCACTCTGTGAGGCCTGCAGCCCTGCCGCCCTGGGAGCCCTGGAGCCCTCCTGCCCTGCTGCCCTGCTGCCCTGAAGCCCTGCCGCCCTGCGAATCCTGGAGCCTTGTTGCCCTGGGAGGCCTGCAGCCCTGGCTCCCTGCTTCCCTGCAGCCCTGACACCGTGAGAGGCCTGCAGGCCTGCGAGGCCTGGAGCACCGCTGCCCTGAAGCCCTGGAACCCTGGGAGGCCTGAAGCACTGCCGCCCTGCTGCCCTGCATCCCTGCCAACCTGCTGCCCCGCAGCCAAGCCAACCTGCTCCCCTGGAGCCCTGCTGCCCTGCTGCCCGACAGCCATGCCAACCAGCTGCCCTGCGAGGCCTGCAGCCCTGCCTCCCTGGGAGGCTTGCAGCCCCGTGGCTCTCGGAGGTCTACAGTCCTCCCGCCCTGGTGCCCTGCAGCCCTGTCACCTGGGAGGCCTGCAGTTCTGACGCCTGTTGCTCTACAGCCCTGCTGCCCTACGAGGACTGCAGCCCTGCCACTCTGTTGCCCTGCCACCCGGCTACCCTTGGAGGACTAAAGCCCTGCAGCCCCGCCACACTGGGAGGCATGCAGCCCTGCCGTCTGTTGCCCTGCAGACCTGTCGCCCTGCTTCCCTGCATTTTTGCCGTCCTGTGAGGCCTGTACCCCGCCACCCTGGGAGCCTGTAGCCCTGCTGGCCTGCTGCCCTGTATCCGTGCTGCCCTGGTGCCCTGCAGCCCTGCCGCTGTGCCATACCTGCAGCCCTGCTGCCCAGGGAGGCCTGAAGCCCTGTCGCCCTGGGAGGCTTGCAGCATTGCCGCCCTGTTGCCCTGAAGCCTGGCCGCCTTCTGAGGCCCGCAGCCCTGCTCCCCTGCTGCCCTGCCGCTCTTCCATTCCTGTAGCCCTGCTGCCCAACGAGGACTGCAGCCCCGCCGCCCTGCTGCCCTGCCGCTCTGCCACCCTTGGAGGCTAAAGTCCTGTAGCTCTGCCACACTGGGAGGCCTGTATCACAGCCGCCCTGTTCCCCTACAGCACTGCTGCCCTTCGAGTCTTGTAGCCCTGCCACCCTGCTGCCCTGCCGTCCTTCGATGCCTGCTTCCCTTCATCCCGGGAGGCATGCAGCTCTGCCACCCTGCTGCCCTGGTACCCTGCCTGGTGCCATGCAGCCCTGCCACTCTGTGAGGCCTGCAGCCCTGCCGCCCTGGGAGCCCTGGAGCCCTCCTGCCCTGTTGCCCTGCTGCCCTGAAGCCCTGGAACCCTGGGAGGCCTGAAGCACTGCCGCCCTGCTGCCCTGCATCCTTTTCCGACCATCCTTTTCTGTTCCCCGCAGTCGTGATGCCCTGGGAGGCTTGAAGCCCTGCCACCCTTTGGCCCAGCCTCCGTGCTGCCCTGATGCCCTGGTGTCCTGCAGCCCTGACACCCTGAGAGAGCTGCAGCCCTGCCTCCCTCTTGTCCTGTACTCCGCCCGCCCTGTGAGGCCTGCATCCCTGCTGCCCTGGGAGCCCTGGTGTCCTCCTGCCCTGCTGCCCTGAAGCACTGCCGCCCTGCGAAGCTTGTAGCCTTGTTGCCCTGGGAGGCCTGCAGCCCTGCCTCCCTGCTGCCCTGTAACCCTGCTGCTCTGCTCTGCTGCCCTGCAACCCTGGCTCCCTGCTTCCCTGTAGCACTGATGCCCTGAGAGGCCTGCAGGTCTGCTGTCCTGCACCCTGAGACCTGCAGCCCTGCGAGGTCTGGAGCACTGCTGACGTGTAGCCCTGGATGGCCTGAGGCACTGCTGCCCTGCTGCCCTGCATCCCTGCCGACCTGCTGCCCTGCAGTCGTGATGCCCTGGGAGGCTTGAAGCCCTGCCACCCTTTCGCCCGGCCTCCGTGCTGCCCTGATGCCCTGGTGCCCTGCAGCTCTGCCGACCTGCTGCCTTGCTGTCCTGCTGCCCTGCAGCCCTCCCAACCTGCTGCCCTGCAGTCCTGATGCCCTGTGAGGCTTGCAGCCCTGCTGCCCAGTTGCCCTGCCGTCCTGCCACCTTGGGAGGCCTCATCCCTGCCACCCTGCTTCCCTGCACCCCGGCTGCCCTGAGAGGCCTGCAGACTTGCCACCCTGCTGCCCTGCAGCCTTTCCAATCTGTCCCCTGGAGCCCTGCTGCACTGCTGCCCGGCAGACATGCCAACCTGCTGCCCTGTGAGGCCTGCAGTCCTGCCTCCCTGGCGCCCTGCACCCTGACACCTGCAGCCCTGGGAGGCCTGCATGCCTGCCGCCCTACTGCCCTGCAGCTCTGCTGACCTGCTGCCTTGAGTTCCTGTTGCCCTGCAGCCCTCCCGACCTGCGGCCCTGCACCCCGGCTGCCCTGTGAGGCCGACAGACCTGTTGCCCTGGGAGGCCTGCAGCCCCGTCACCCTGGGAGGCCTGCAGCCCTCCCACCCTGCTTCCCTGCAGCCCTGTTGCCCTGGGAGGCCTGTAGTCCTGCCACCCTGTTGCCCTACAGCCCTGTTGCCCTTCAAAGACTGCAGCCCTGCCTCCCTGCTTCCCTGCCGCTCTGCTACCCTTGGAAGCCTAAAACTCTGCATCCGTGCCACACTGGGAGGCATGCAGCCCTGCCCTCTGCTGCCCTGCAGACCTACTGCCCTGCTTTCCTGCAGCCTTGCTGTCCTGTGAGGCCTGAACCCCGCCCTTCTGGGGGCCCACAGCCCTGCCGCCCTGCTGTCCTACAGCCCTGCCACTCTGGGAGGCCTGCAGCCCTGCCGCCTTGCCATATCTGCAGCCCTGATGCCCTGAGAGGCCTGCTTCCCTGCGGCTCTGGGACGCTTGCAGCTTTGCGGCTCTTTGCCCTGAATCCAGGCGGCCCTGTGAGGCCTGCAGCTCTGCCGCCCTGCACCCTGA